AGTGAAATACCCCGAAATCGAAGCCTCACAGACCAACAAACATTTTTACAAGATCGATGTGAATATTTAAGCCTGGCATCACTCCTGACATCCAGCATCACAGGTTTGCACTGAAGTGACAGTGTTTTCCAAAGAGGGACAATCTTTGCTGGTCAGAGACAGCTGCCCTTGTCACCTGAAATGTCATCAAAGGTGGCATTCTTCTGGGCTTGGATCCTCCTGCTTCCACTTCCCCCAGCACTGAGGAAGGCCCTGCCAGGTGCAGGATATGCCTTTTCCCAGTGTAAAAGACTTTGTACAAGAATTACACATGCAGATCTCCATGCTGGAAAAGGAAAAGCAAGATCTCTCTCTGTCAGTGCTCTGAGGTCAGTGATTCACCTTAATGATCCTGGCTTGCCTCACCTGGGAATTAAAATTTTGTAACTTAAAAGTTGTCTTGCAAAATGTATATTTTTATACTTAATTTACATGTTGAAATAAAAAAAATCGCTTGGATTTTGTCAGGAGTTCTTGTGAATGCAAACAGTAATGTCTCCCAGCTCTCCCTTGGCTTGCCTATCTTAATTTCTTATGTTTTTCTTTAGCTCTATTTTCCAGCAAGTCAGTTTCCAGAAAAACATTTTATTGCAAGTCTTCCCTGGTACCTAAACTGAATAAATGCCATTATATTCAAAAGTTTGATACAGAGATGATGTAACAAAAGTTATGTCATATGCCAACTCCTTATCTCACACTGAGCTAGTTCCTTAGTACTTGACCTTTTCGTGACTGTTTAGACTATAAGCGTTTCTGACGACACGCGTTAGCTCTTATCCAGAAAAAAACCACTATTGCAATATAAGCACTAATAGTTATATCAAACTGAAGCCAGCAGTGCTGTGATAGAAGCCAAGACTGTTGGGTGTCAGCGCCGAAATCCCGGGTTAATTAGGCTGCAGTGCTGCGCAAGCACCACAAGACGGCGCCATCCCAAGCCCGCAGTGCTTCCATGGAACCACGGACTGGTTTGCATTGGACTCACTCCAGCAGGTCCATATCCTTCTCATGTCGGCTGAAGAATCAGTTTTGACAAAAGTTTGTATTTAAAGCGGTGAAGCTGAAATAAATGTACTCTTCCACTGGTGACACGACTGTTAGAGCTGTCAGCATTTGTGTATCAGTCACCCCCTTGTGAGATGCTCTGCTGAGTGCAGAAAAAACAACTGTTATATTTATGTTGGAAAGATGTTTTAAGGGCCCACGTAATTAAAGTGTTAAGGAGGCTATTAGAGCTTCCAAGGCTTAAGGAATGTCCAAAGGAAAACATGAAATATACACTGACTCCAGCATGCTACATGTAGAAATAAAACATAGCTGATGCCAAACCTCTCATTTACACCTGCCTTGGGACCGGGCTTGAAAAGTATTCAGTTTTAAAGTCTTCTGAAAGTCTGGAAAACTACAGGCCAGTAAGTGGTTGCCTTTACCAGGCAAATAAGTAGAAATCAGAACAAAGGATGAAAGTGAACACAGGACTACACCTAAAATTATGGGGAAGGGTTTATGCAGCTTTTGATGGCAAAAACTGTGGCTCAGGATCTCTCAGGATCCTGCTGAAAGGGGACCCAGGTGGCAAGGATACCCTGGCCCCAATGTCCATCACTAAAGATCCCTTGAGAAAGGAGAGGAGAAATGACTCACAGAAGAATAAAAGGTTAGAAACAGAAGCCAGGACTAAATAATGGTCAGATTTGTTATTGGAGAGAAGTGGTCGAAGTCCCACAGAGCTGTGGGACCTGTACTGTTCAACTTTTATCTCTGAGAGCTGAGTTATGTGCGAAGAGTAAACAGTTCTCCTTGCCCTCTAAAACTCTTCACATACGAGTACAGTACAGCACGTATCAATCTAAGTGTCCCGCCGAGGCTGCTGTACCACATTCGGACACCAGATGACGCTGCTCGCCCGCGTAACGCCCCGCACCGGGCCGGAGCGCTCCGGCGGGACCCGCGCAGGAACCTCGGAGCGCGTTCCCGGGAGAAGGGCTTTCCGTGCATAGCTACTGCTGCCTTACACTACTGGCTGAAAGATACGCGGGGAAGAACTTGACTTCCTGATGAGCTCGCTTAAAGCGGCGCTGTAGTTACATTTTACTGCGCTGCACTTTACTGGGGTGACCTGGGGCGGAACAGAGGAGGATGGACTGAGGTAGAGCTGCCTTTCACACGCTGCACATGCAGAACAACCACACCAGCGTTTCCCTGCCAAAGGGGTGCCCGTGCTGGATCTGAGAATGCAGGAGCTGATGTGAAACAGAAAATTAGTCCAGGGTCAGGGATATTTTTAGATCTTCCTGCACAAGAAGTAAGAGCAGAAAAAGGGCACAAAAGATTCAGTTTAAGTTATAAATGCTACAGTGGTTCAAGGGCAGGAAAGAAAACTGGTCCTGGACAAAGAAGCTGAAGTGATACTCAGGCTACTGCTTGCTTGAAGTTGCTAATGAAACACTTGTAAAGAGAAATCCCAATCCTCTCAGGAAAGCCAAATATTAAAGGAAAAAATCTAGACCAAAAATGCCAAGTCCTGGACAAAACAAGAAATGGACATGGCCACTCTGACCTTTTCTGTCCTAAGGGCAAGAGACTGCTTCTGCCCTTGTTGTGAACAGGAAATATCCTCTCTTACCTTGCAGATTTATGAGTTAATGGACTGGAAGGAAACACAATGTCCTCTCCCATCAAATACTGTGACCACATAAACAGGGCTGGATCTTATTGACTGCATCTCTGAGTACCTAAAATGATTGAGCTACTGGTATTGGGAGGCATCCCAGCATTGGATAACCTGCAGGAATTGCAGATGTTACCTCTCATCCTGGCTGCTGTTCTCCCTGTCTGTTGGACACTGTTGGCACTGGGGCTGCTGAATGGCTCATCTCATTAACACCGTAAGCTTCCGACTGGTTCTGACCCACAAGGATAACCTGACAATTTCCAGGTTCAGCCTGATGTGTCTGACACAGACACAGCAAAATATCTGAGGCACTAACTTCCAGCTAGACTAAGGACACAGCACAGCACTTGTGTTCTAGGAAAAAGGCCCAGTTAGCCAGTCAACAGCTTGCTATTTCCTGGGTGGTTTGTGCGTGCAGGGACTTGCTCCTGCAGGTTGCTTTCAGTCTTTGTGTTTCCTCTAACAGAAATTAATCTGTTTCTCATAAAATTAAATATGAGTATCTCTTTGTCACCAGTTCTGAAAATCACATGGGCATCAGCTTGTTCTATTCCTGTTCAAAGAAAAGTCCTCAAGAATTCAATTCAAGTCCATGTTTGGACACTGTATCGTGGCAGATGCTTACAACACATGGGATAGCCTTTAAATGTGCAGTTCAAAGTCTCTCTAGGAGAGACAACCATTATATTTTAGGTTTTATTCTACATTTCTCATGTAGACAATGCTCCTGGTGCTATCAATGTGCCCTAAGAGTGTATTCCATCTTTTTCAAAAATAAATACTAGACCAAAATGTGGGGGGGAAATACTTAATTTCATGGTGCCTGTTTTTGGTGGCGTGGGGTAGGGGAAATACTTCCTTCATTCTTTTTTTCTGCTATATCAGTAAAAGCAATTTCTCTAAAAAAATGTGCACTGGCTGCTAATAGCAAGGAGCTGTCTCTGTGGAACACCTCTGATTTGGGAGTATGAATAAATTTAGTCTAAAATTTCATCATTAGTGACAGAAGTATTAATATTAAAAACCTAAGGAATGGCGAAATCCATGGACAAGGACTTTTACAAATGATGACATGATTTTGAATACCTGAAATTCAAATATACCTGGCTTACAATAACAACAGAAGGTTGTTATTCTAAAAATCAGGCCACTTCCAAGCTTTCAGCAAAATCAAAGGCATTTGTAGCAGATAACTGGACCATGAAGCACACTGGGAAATTTTGCCACCACTGCCAAGGGACAGAAGATCAAGCCCAGAGCAAGCACACGTGATTTAAAATCATTCAGTGTCTGGTACTGAGCAGGGAACCTCACAGGAGAGTAATAAAGGCCTGTTTACATGGAAACACATGTTGGACACAATTTCAAAAACTCAGGGACATGTCTCTGAAGCTCAGCTGTCATCTAAAGATGAAAGGCCAAGAGATTCAGCCAGGGCTTTACTGCTGTGCCATAACTGGAAGGAAAACCTCTGTATTTTTCCTTTACTGTTCAGAAAATATTTACATAGAGATTTTTTTCTGTTTGAAAGATTTAGGAAGAAATCAGACAGACATCCAGAAAGGTCACAGAAGGTATTAGACACTGATTTCTTAAATGATCTTGTCAAAATCCTCTAGCAATTTGCCTTTCTGAGCTTCACCTGGGACACTCTTAAACACCCCTTCTTGCCCGTGGGCCCAGAAGCCCATTTAAGCTTGGCATTTTTCCTGGTTTTGAACTCTTTTCCTGTTTTTGAACAGGAAGGAGCCTGGGCAGTGGGGTCCCTGCCCTGCCAGCAGGGTCAGGGTGTTTGGCTCCCAGTCCCTCAGGGCACAGCCGGTCCTTGTTGGGCCCAAATATTCCCCTGCTGGAACTTGCCCACTTGCCACAACATTGATAGTATTTCCTGTGTGCTCTCTCACGGAAGACGTAAAAAATTATGTTGATATTAATTGAAAATAAATGTAAAAATATTTAAATGCTTTTAAATTCATGCAATAGCAGGGGAGACACTTTGCTTCACAATCTGTTTTCATAAAGATGCTTTCAAGTGGATTCTGTGAATCTAGTTCCTGTGTAAGTAACAAGATTCTCCTCCTGTAACATCCTCTTTTTATTGGTGTCTACTCATCTAATGCTTCATCTGGCCTTTTGAAGTAAAACATTCCCATGGGCTCTGATGGTCATGAAACGATCAGATGCTTATTATGTTCACCTCTTTCACACCTTCTAAAACAGAACCATTAAACCTCTCTAGTCAAAAGACTGGTGCAGGATGCACACACGAAAGGAGTGCAGCACACACCAGCAGGAAGTCTTGGTGGTGTTTTTCACTTCAGGGATCTTCTTAACGCCTGTGAAACGGGGTCAAAAATATCAGATTACACAAGTGGGACAGGGAAATCATGTCAGTGACTTCAGTGGGGTGAATAAGACCCTTGTAATCCCCAATAATGTGTTAGGTCAAATAATGCAGAAGAGAAATAAATCATGCAAATCCTTCATTAGGAGTGCAACCTGCGTCAGCTTCAGGCAGGAAGATCAGCTCCCAGACAGTGTCTGTAAGAGCCACTACAATGAAAACAAACTGGAAACCAGTGTGTCACCTGTGGCTGAATTTCCTGGCTCTAAGGTGTGGAGCAAAACCATAATCCACTTCAAATCCTTTTTTTTCTGTGTCAGTTAATTTGTTTATGAAGTGCAATGAGGGTGAAATATTTTGCTTGAATCCTTTCCAAAGGATTATAAGGTAGATTTACTCCAGAAAGGTAGAGAGCAAGACACTATTTTTCTGACTTACAGATTTACAGGATTCTCTTTTAAAGGGTTAAAGTGCCTGAAATGTTAAAGATAAGCTTGTACCCATAATCTGCCTCGTTTCTCACAAAACATACAGAATTAAGGTGATGTTTTGTTCAAAGGTCTTCTAAACCCATACTTTCAGGTATACTTGGTACCTCCCAAATCCTACTTTTGGAAAAAGGAACACGGTTTCACTTACATTGTCCAAATTCTGCACCACTTGTATTTGAGAATTGTGCCAATTCTTTATTTAATCACATAACTCATGGCAACCCTCTGCTCCTGTTTTTTGTAAAGTGTATATATTCTTTAATAAAATTAAAATATCAATCATGCTGTTCTCAAGGCCTTTAAACTAACCTTTTTCCATACTGCATATTTTAATATTTCTTTTTCTGAACTCTACAAATGATTCAGGAAGTCTTGGTAGCTCCAACACATCTCCCGGGAGACAAGGAGCTTCAATCTGTGGAACTTTCATATTTAATGTTAACATCACATCCCCTACCAGGTAACACCGAGTAGAAAATAGGCACATCACAAAGTGATGTCATATCCTTAGACAAAATTTCTGTGTTCAAATATCCACATGGAAATGGAATATTCGGGAATGTGAGCTTCAGATCCACACTGTGATCTCAGCTTTGTGATTCAGGCCTCTTCTTTGCCTCCTGGGACAAAAGCAAGTAGCTGCTGGTTGTGCAAGCTGGAGGGTGTGGAAAGGCTCTGTCCCGTTCTGGAGAGCTGTGGCTCAGCAGCACGACAGTGTGCAGAGCATCTCAGGGCTCAGTCACCACTACCATTATTCATTTTTACTGGGAGAGTGTGCAAAAGCTTGGCTGCAGATAAGGAGCCCATTATTCCAGATACACTTACAAAAGAGGAGCATGGGATGCTTGCTGGTGCTGGAATCTCACAGCCCGTGGCAAGCCCTGTACCAAGGACTCTAAGATGTCATCTGGTAAGACTGCATGTGCTGCTGGACACCCTGCATGTACACTCCTTGCCATTCCTGGCTTTTCTAAGTGTGCTGGCTGCTAGGATTGGGGGGGAAAAGAGGATTCAGTGCATCCACTTAACTGATCCTCTTACAGACACAGATCATAACTCTCAACCCACTAATAAGCTCCACCAGGAACTCAGGCTGAGCAGTGGTGAAATGCCACCTCCTGGGAGCACAGGCACTCTCACTGAGCAGAAACATCAAAGTGCTCATTCCTGCTCCTGGGCAGGATGCTGGCCTGCTGGCCTGAAAGAGGGACCACCACGGCTCTTTCAAAATGACAGGGTCCTTGCTTGTGTGCCATTAGTGCAGAGGAGACTCCGTACACAGGGATGACACTGTGCAACCCTGGGAGATTGCAACATGATGCAGGGAGGATTCAATTGTCTTGCTGGACCTCTTTAGCAAGTTCCTGCCTCCAAGTACAAGAATGACGTGAAAATGGCCTTTGGATGTACCCTCAGTGATTCACTTTGAAGTGAGTGAGGGCTGGTTCACGCGTTTGACAATGAGGCCCTGAAAACCAGCAAAGGTCCAACGCACAGCATTGCCTTTTGCAGGCGAACGGTCACAGTAGGAAAGCCAGGAGGCACGTCTGGGAGCCACTCATCCTGGGCCACAGTGGCTCCTGTGCCTCCAGCCTGCCTGTTCTCCCTTTATACCATCACAGTCCCATGCAGCACCACACTCCACCTGCAATGCTCCAGTTGGGATAGGAGGTGTGCACTGGAGACAACCCCAGTATGGTCTGACTGCTTCCTAACAGCACTTAGTGCCTGGTCCCCTCTGTGGCTGCTGCTGAGGTTCACGGATTCAGCATGTTATCAGAGATATCCAGCACTGCCATAATTTACACCCATTGCTGCTAGCAGGAAGAGCCAACGTGACTGAACTTGCCTCAAAATGAAGGCTTTCATTCCGTGATAAAAATGGCATTATGCCCTGTAATTCCATCGTGTCGTGTAACTGAACTTCACGGTGCCTTAGTTTGTTAAGGCTTTAGAGCAACTGCTGCTAATCCTCCAGAAATTATCTGCCAGCTAATACAGCATGTCTGGTGCTTCAGACAGTGGATCACTGTAAATCATTTTGTAGGCTGTGTTGTTACACTAATTGAGACACACAGTTTTGGGGAAGCCATTAAGATGTTTTTATTCCTTTCTCAGCCCTGGCCTCTCCTTCCCACTTCTGCAGTGCAGCTTTTGCACCATCTCCTCAGTTCTTTCACTACCACTGTAATAGAGTCAGATTACAAAATGGGACCCTCTCAAAAAAAAAGAAGAATCACCTCAAAAGCAAAATGACGGCACTGCAATGAAAAAAACCTGTCTGTAATGATGAGCACCTCAGAAATCTCAGCTCATTCCAATTCCCAAAACCCAAAGTCAGTCCCAAAAGTCCTCCACTGAAAACGTGATTTGACTGCATCTTAATGAGAACCACTAATCCTTTCTGGGTTAATTTGTCCAAGTCATAGTAAAACAGCACAGTAGCTGTTGACTGGGAAATATCTTTGATTCTGCAAAGAAATAAAGACAGGCCAATCAAGGAGGACTCCGAGGCACTCACCATGGTGCAACACAACTTGCCTTATGTTCTGCCTACACAGTAAAATGTGATTTTTAGTAATTACAGAAGAAAAGCAATTCTTTTGTTGTCTGAACTTCTGTCATCTTATTTCCACTTCTTACTTTCAAAAAATCACATAAGTACTCAAAAAATGTGTTTAAAAACCAAGCTACTTTGCCTTTATGCCTTCTGCTACAGACCCATGCTTTTCATCTGGAATTTCTTTTGATAAATGATTACCATGATGTTTGGCATTTCCTTTCGGACTGGGCTGTGAAAAGGGTAGGACATGCACTGGCTTATATGGAATTACAAGCATTCCTTTCACAGTGCACTGGGATGAGTTTAGGACATGACACACAACTTTGTAACCAGGGATCACAAAATGCCAAATCAAGAAAGCACATGATGCAAAGCACTACTTTTTTTGTTTGGACAGGTTTTAGAAATATTTGGACAGGATCTGACTGCCTACCATGGCAGGGTTGTTTATGCCAGGGCAGCACAGAATATATCAGCTTTTTTATTCTGAGCGTATATTGACTTCAATGCTTGATGATAAATGGGCATAAAAGACTGAAAACTTCAACAAGGCTGCACAACTATACTCCAGAACTCATTTCCCCCTTTCTGTCCAATTCTATACCTTAAAATGGAATCCTTATTACCTGAAGTTTATAACAACAAAAGGCTACAAGTTCAAGAGTGACCTGTATCTATCCCCTTTCCCACATCACTATAATGCACTTCAGGAACTCGTGTGAAAGGTGAACAGTGACGTTCAAGTCATCAAGTGCACATCCTGCTCATCTTGCAACATTAAGTGGAAGGAAATTTTTTTCAAACTGTGGTTTAGTAACCATTCCCTGATAAAAAATACTGTCATATGTCCCTCACTAAAGTGCAAACCAAATCCTTATGTACTAATAGTTGCATGATGTTTTACAACTGAGCACCACTGGTACAGACCTTTAAGGCACTACTGCCTGAAAACTCTTGGTGTCCCCACTGAGTTTGCTGGGCCTGCTCTGCTCCTGAAGGCTTTTGTCACTCATCACACTCCACACACAATGAGCACCAAATGTGCAGTCAACAGGACAGTAACAATAAAGCTGTTTTAGACAGCATTCTTCTTATATATTTATTTATATAGGAGCAGCAGTACTATTTTTTTAATATTTATTTATATAGGAGCAGCCGTGCTAATGTGCTGTGAGAGTCCTACTGGATTTGGTGGAACTGAACTCGGCCCAATGCCTCAAGCAGAACAGTAAAACTAGAATACATGAGGAAAGAGAGAACTTTTTAAACCTCATCAAAGCCAAAAAGTAGATGAAACATAAAGTTTATCCAAGATGAAAGGCTCCTAGGTCTCCTGTATTCCACATTTACTCTATGACAGTCTATGAAGAACTCTTCTGGAGGACATCTTTGTCCTTCAAAACTGCTGAAGTCATGGGGCTTTTGCAAAAAAATTAGTAATGTTTTCTGAGCAATATGTGTGATTGACAGTCACAAATGCCACTTCAGAAACGAAAATGATAAAATACTGGCTGGAATCAAGGCTCATAGTGACTCTTACCAATTCCTGAGCTCTCCAGAGGTTATTAAGCTTTAGAGGAATGGGGAAGGGATATTGTTTTCTGTGGGTGACTAAACATTCGGCTCTGTGCCCCATGCTCGTAGTGGATGGTTTCCTGATTAACTGTGCTGGGACTGGATACCTCGACTGGTTGGACCCAACAAACAGGTATTGTCAGACCTTCAGGGAAAAGGTGCTGGGGAAAATCAAACTCCTTGCTGCAGATTCGTATCCTTGATCTACATTAAATATTCATGTGTTTTGAGTTTGGTATCGACCACTAATGGTCTGTGTCACACAGCAAGGCAGCTGTTTATGCTAAACAAAATGGGTCAATTCCTGGGTTTTGATCACATTACTTCTTATAAGAGGAAATTAGCTCTGGGCTGCAAGTAGGA